ACAATGCTTTAAAATATAATGAAGGAAAGTGTTATCCTTTTAAAACAAGGATGAGTTACGTGTAACATAATGAAACTGGCTAGAGAATTTAGGACTTATATTCAACTCAACATTGATAATTTCACTAAGGCAGTGAAAGCTGTTTATCTTAACACAGAAATCAAAACTGATACTCTTTCAGCTACTAATTGTGAAATTATCTACATCTGTACCATAATATGAGATCAGTTGTTTGTCATAATATTAAAAAGGGTATTTATTGGTTTTGCTTAAGGCCAGAGAGATTATAAGCTTGCTACGAGAAAAAGGGCAATGAGATTCATAAAACAAGTATGGCACTATATAACAAAACACTAACATGTGGACCTTTCTTTGCTGTATCCGACCTAAGGATGGCTATTCTCCACTTCAGTAAATCACTTCTACAAAACTTAACCTTAAAAACAGTATCTCTTACCACTTTCTGGAATAGAAACAATACATTCACAGAAGCGAATGGCTACATTTAAAAGATAGCTTAAATATGCTTATATATTTCTACAAAGCCAATTTCTATTGCTAGTAAGATGCAAACTGTGACAATCTCCCACTTCAAATATTCCCTCATACTTTAACTTCTCATCCAACAAATCTTAAAAAGAGACAAGTCTTGTACTTAAATGCCAAATTCTCCCTCCAGTCTCTCTTTTCTCACCTCTGGTCTACTGAAGTTTCTTTTTCAACATCGAGTAAACTTGAGTAAAGGACTTGCACAACTCAGCTTCAAGGTGACTGACCCCCCCAAAGCTGCATACATTATATGCAAAGCAGAGCCTCTTAAAGCAAGTCTATGAGTAGAGATTTAGAACTAGCCAACAGGAAACTCCAAGCACAAGGATCTATTTCAAATCCTATCCTATGGAATCATACAGGGTATCATACGAGAAACAGAATGAATACATCTAGTAGAAATCCCTAGTTCACAGGCTTCTCCAGGTTGTTAGAAGCTACATAAGTTTCTCTGAAAAACACAGGTTACTTGAGTTTTGCTTGCAAAACAAACAAAAAACCAAAATGCTAGTGAATGTCTTCCCCTCCTTCACTGCATGTTACAGAAGAAGAAACAGAACACCCAGTCAGTCTCCTCAGCCCAAGAATATCCAAGAAGGATTCAAACAGTTTTCAGCAGAAGTCACATCCTACACTGAACTGGAAGCACACGGAACCCAGATTCAACTCCTGGAGTTATAATCTTCAAGAGAAATAAACACAATAATTTACAATGTCAAAGAGACTGTAGCAAAATAATTGTTGATATCATTACTTATAGGTAGATTTCTGCTGCCCACAGTTTATCTGAAGACTCTGAACATTCAAAACAGTCCTACAAAGCATAGATGCACCTTTATTATTTCTCACTTCCTAATATTTCTCAACTAACAGTTTCCAATTGCATTGTAACAGGAGTTTCAGTACAGTTCAGACTGAATTTGATATTAATTTGAGTGACTGGGAGTTTATCACATTTAGGGAGTTGCAGATTACTTGGAATACTATAAAGTGAAAGCTACACAAAAAACAACGTAGGATTCATGTTACAGATGAATCTTTAACTTTCTGTAGTGCAAGACAAAAGACTAAAGCTGCTCAGTTACAACGTGATGAAACCTAATCTTATTTCAGTTATACTAGGGAAGTAAGAAATGCATGACAATGTGTCAGCAAAGTCAGCTGGTACTGACAATAAAAAGTTCCAAGACTAAGGCACTAGATAAAGTTTAAGGGGTCTTTAAAAAAATAAAATAAATCCCACACCCCACCCTACACCCTGTGCCAATTCAGGCTTGTATCGAGAAACAAAAACTGAAGGCTCTATCTCAAGGGCTACAGGCTAGGATAATTAATTGTGTATTTTTTGCCAACACTGGTCCCTACACCCCGCCACCAAGAAAAAAAAAAGAAACAAAACTCTTTCAGAAGAAAAAAATCTAAATTATAACTCAACTGTAAAATACTGCTACTAAAAATACAGAGCATTCTTCTCTAATTCTTCTACTAAGAAATCAGAGATTGGTAAATATCAGTAGTGTAAGAATATGAACTCTTTGGAACTCTTTGCACAGCTGTTTAGATAATGAATGAAAGAACAGCAACATCAAAAGAAGTCTCAATTAAAAGGAAGTTGTTTAACTATAGTAGGCCTTCTAGAACAGCATTTCCCTCATGAGAATCTGGATTTTAGCACTAGAAATCTTCCTAAGCTTAAGGTGTTATATATGTTCTATATAAAAGAAACTGGATAATAAAAATAATCCTCCCCCCTTCCAAACAGTAAATAAACAAAAACAGTAAATAAAAAATGAACTGGAGAGAAGCTGCCTACAAATGCCATGCTGGGAAGATGCCTCATATGATGCTTTGTCCAGACTTGCAATTCACATGAAATTTTGTACTTCCAAAGCCTTTATTTGAAATTGAAGACTTTATCTATTGTATTACCGGTTCGTAAGAGTGTGGAAAAGGCAAAAAAAAAATCCCCACGTCTGCCTGCCTCGCGCCACCCTCCCGTCCTCCAAAGAAAAGTAAGCCAAAGTACTCCTCTCATTCACAGGATCACTTCAGTTATAAGGCACATTAGTTCCACAGTATCTACAGAACGGTGTTTATTGCTGGGGGTAACAGCTATACGTCTACAGCTATACGTCTACAGCTATACGTCTACAGCTATAC